CGCGACATACCGTTTTCTTTCTCTTTTCATTTTTAACAAAATAAATGAAATTCGATATATATAAAACTGGGAAGTGTCCCAATAAATCTAATTTTTATTCTTTACACTTTTTTGATATTTTCATTGCTATTCCTTTTCCGCAGAAAACTCTAGTCGTCTTCTACACACAATACTGACTTCCCCTGCTGAGCTGATTTATATTTCAGTCTTAAACTTCCAACAGATGTCGCTCACGACTGTGAATTATATCATGACAGAAATGAATGCAAGTTTTTGTTTGCCATTTGCAGACTTTTTCAAAACTTTGTTGATTTTTTGAAACATTTGTATTATCCGCCTTATATGAATTAAATCGCTTCACCGACTAGTGTTGCTTACAATGTTGGAGCATATAGATTTTTCTTTGGTTATTATATGATATCGAGTATATGTAAAATACACCATTTATGGCTGACTATGCTGAGTAAGTATATATTTTTATTATTTAATGCGATCAATCACTCAAGAGATTCCGCGATACTCGTGTAACATAGTGGTGATCGGAAAGAAGTGAGAAAAGGGAAAGAAATAGGGCAGTGGTGTTTGTGCGTAATCAATAAATGTTATGTTTTTACCGACTGAGCTCTGGCTATAGTTACGAGCAAAATAATCTCTACCGCATACGAGATTGGAAGCGGGCAAATTATGACTTCGTAGTCGAGATTCGTATCTTTTCGGCTACTCAAATGGATATAAAACTGTATACCTCAAAATATAAATTTATAACCCCAAATTTTTCCGTAAAAGCGGAAAAAAAAAAAAAATATTGTGACTATAAATTTAAACTTTTATACCAAGGACCCCAAGTGATTCCGATGTACTTTCGCTGTTGAGCAATTGTAATCATCGCTCACTACGTCATGTAGCTTCAAAATTCAAAAAAACATCCGTACAGCAGTAGAAAACACTGCTTAGCTCCTATAATATTGATTCCAGAGACCTCAAAATCGTTGAGGACAACAAAATCAAGGCATGATAAGAAGTATTCAGTGTGTTCAATCGGATATTCGAATATTTGGAAACATTTATTACACACGATTTGTATTAATTTTTTTAACAAAGTGTAATTGCAATACCAAGGAAAATTTTATGTAAAACTTTCGTAAATAGCGAAATTCGGCAATTCAAATCATTGTTATTTAAAAAACAGTGGTGCTTCTGTATGTTCGCGAAATATTCCTTTTCTAATGCCATCTTCTTTGAGCCTTACATAACGTTGTCTTTTCTGACATTTAGAATTGAAAACAAAATCTTGGCAGCATCAAATGTCGAAAATATATTGTATATGTTTGTTGGCCACGTTTACGAAGGAATAGAATGCTAATAGGTAGATAAATAAGTTTAAAAAACCTCAACTTAGTGTATAAAACAAATGATCAATAACAGCCATTTATTATTGCTACGGTAGTCAGTGTAGATCCTCGGCGATTGGCCCAATCTTTGTGACTAATGAATATTTTGTAAAGTGACGAATACGCCATCTTCAAACATAATTTTCGGATAAATACATAAAAAGAAAAAATGACGCATTCGCGACATTACAAGATTAAGTGTGTAAGCTGTCTCCCGTTTTAAGTAAACCAGGGAACAATGCGAAAAGAAAACCTGCGTGTGGTTAACGGTATTGTTACAAAAATCGTAAATTTATTGGTTTGAGTTTGCATGAAAATTAGTCCCTTTTCTAAGAAACCATATTGAAAAGAAAGGGGAAGCTATAAACACATCACGCTTTACCTGCGTCATGCAAGTGGCAACTCACGAAAAGATTACCATAATTCGCAAAAATTCAGCAGAAAAAGACATACAATGTCGTGATGACTTTAGGTAAAAGCAACTTGTAAAAGGCTTGTAAAAAAAGCCGAATATTTGCGGCAGCCGAATTGGGTCGTGTCAAGAAATTTGAATTGCAATATTCGAACGCACAAGGCCAGAACAAAAATTAAAGCGTTATAAATAATTTGCAAATAGATCTCCTAAGAATTGTAAATACTATACTAGCCTAAGAATCATATTTCACCGGTACGAGCTTAATTTCAAAAGGCATCGAATAACAACATAAAACTGGCGAAAGACACGTTTACGTTACAATAGTTGTCAGTTACAATTAAACATAGCGAGAAAACATGTTTTTCCATCCGGTCCTTTTTTTAATTTTAGAAAACCAAGAAAAGGTACAAAAAATGTGCCTCTGTAATAGTAAATCGTTTAAAAGAACAGCGTTTCACTTGAGTTAAACTTTTCTGTGGTTTTTTTCAATAACGAACAATTCTCGGCTTTTGTAAATGGTCCTGATTCATAAACCGCGATAGGTCTGAATGCGTTTACGGCTATCCCTACCAATGCAACCACATAGTCGCTTATTCGTAAACGCTTTAACCAATAAAATGTTGCGACTCTCATAATTACCGAAATACGCGTACAACTCCGTAAACTCGGCAGATCCCAATTGAATAGAACGAATCACATTGACAAGTAGACATTAAATTCCGCAAAGTAATGAAATGTGCGCAATAATAGGATTATAAACATATACTATATATACATGTACGTTTAAACAGACCAGATAGTTTGTGAGTAAAAGTATTTCCATTACATTTTTAGGCAAACAAAGTGAGGGTTCCATAATTAAGTTTGGTGTTAGAGAAAATGTTCGACATGTAATCAATTATGGAAATAATCATTTTTTATGAACATATTAGCTTAATTTGGTAGTAAAAAAAGTGATTATCCGGAATTGTTACCATTTGCAAATAGATAACGCACAAGTAGGCAAAATTCCTAGGAAATAGAAAAAATAGATTTTATTAAAACTAGTTTGTCTGCAAAGCTCTAAGAAAAGTAGCGATGAATCTCGAGTGAAAGACTGTAATTTCCGTACAATTTCAAACTGTCCAAAAACTCGCGTTTCCTGTCCAAGCAAGTTCATGTACGAAAAGTGGACTTGCAGAAGATCGCTGACATTAGAAGGCAATGCATCCGCGATTTGCGTGTAAATTTATGCATCGGGAGGATGTTTTCCAAATAGAAACCGTGTTTACTCATAGTAGAACAAATCGAGTGCACTTGCAGAATTGCATGAATTGGAGTTCTAATGGCTATCCCACCCACCATATTCTTTTGATTTGGCCCTCAACGACTCTGATCTATTGGTAAATCTCAAAGAAAAATCGTTCTATAAAAGACATCGAAATGTTGAAGAAACGAACTAATTGAGTTGGAGAGTGTTGGTATTGCATCTACTGCTGTCTGTTAAGACCATATATCCTAAGTGAAAGTTTATTATTACAACTTTTGACAGGAACCTTTCATCAACAAAGATCGGAAGGACGGTCGAATGGCGGTAAATGTGGTCAAAATTTTGTGTTAAATATATAATATGATGAATAATACTCTATCAAACTTTTCATGTGTATTGCAAGTGAAGGCACCCTTATTGTGTGCAAAGATCTATTGCAATTCACATTTACTGGGTGATGTTTTTTACAAAACTTCCACACATATGACTTTTCTAGTCATACATCTGCCGTCTAGTAACCAAAGCAGCTTTGTAGTTAACGGTAACGAAAAAGTACTGCAAAGTTTAAAATTATATTATGAAACGCAAATAACTAACATTGTAATTGGAGTGCTTGCTTCAGCACGTGAATTACCAGCTAATATATCTATATTTACTTAAGTTAATTAGTTGTAGATCCGCCAAATGCAAATATATATCGCTTGCTAAATTTACTTTTAATATTGAAATTTTATATATCTTGCTTTAAATAAAATAGCAAGAAATTGTTTAGTTCCATATACAGAAAACATAAAAAATATATGTTCATAAATTTTTTTTTTTTATAAGCTGTGATCTTATGGTTTTGCTGGAATTACTTCTCATAACGAAACAGTAGGATTTTGTAATGCATTAAAATGTCAAAAAGAGGTAAAATGAAATACAGATGGTTTAGGAGAATCTTATTAACTTATTAAAAGTTTTATTTATTGCACTTGGGCACACTGTATATGTCAGCAATGGATTTTCTTTTATGTATCTCTTCACGATTCAAATGAGTGCATTTCAGCGAATATGACCGGTTTTGAATTAAAAGAGAAAGAAATATTTTTGTGCTATACAAAATTTTTGACGTTCTTCACAATAAATTTAAAACTAGAGAATATACTTAACAATATATTCTGCTAAATGTTCATCGATAACCTTAAATGTTGTCTAACATTTTCGTTTTTTCAAATTTCAATTATTCTACTCTATTGCTTATTAAACCATTCACACCAAAGTCCGCGACTCTTTATTTTTCCAAAATAAAACTAGGGTGTTTTCAATTTATCAACCCTTATTAAAACAGCTGATCGCGAAAAAACATACACGTTGAAAAAAAGGATGTTTCTAGCAAATTCTCCAAAAAAAAGAGAAAAAAGGCTTACCTTCACAAATAGCTGCAAATATTGGTTGGCGAAAAGAAAATTCAGTTAAACTTTGTATTCCACTTTTCTGCTATAATTTTCTTACTTTTTCATTTAATAGAAGCACTGTTTTTTTTTTCTTTTCTACCTTCTATCCTAACCAACTTAATAACATATATATGTTCTGTGTGTTATTCCCTATTTGTTAAATTTCTTCAGATTTCGAATACATATGCGTTTGATGTTTTATAGTGCCATGTAGAGAAATCATTCAAGATTGTGTTTGTTTTTAACCGAATGCGTGCTTATACGTTGATATCGTTGTCACACATAAAATAAGATGAAGCAGGAAACGATAAACAAATAAGTGGAAAAAACAATTGCGTCTCAATTAGATGAAAAAAATTCCTATGAGATGGTTTAACCAACTGTTTTCTTTGCGTTTTTGTGACGGTTTTCAAAATGAAGAATTTTTTCTCACTTTTGTTTTACAAGTTAAAAGAAAAAAATTTGATTTGGTATTGTTACGAGTTTTTTCTCTGGGTTTGACTTTTTACCTTTCTTCAATGGTTGCCTCCTTTTATTTTTTGAAAAGTATATTTTCGAAAGCACTTGAAATTCCGTTCCCCACTAGTTATATTAACACTCTTCTCTAAGGAACTTATTTAATTTTAATTTAGTTGGAGATAAATAAACATAACTTATTAGCGTTTTAACAGTTTGTTCCAGAGAGACCTCCCTATTCTGGTTTTCCACCTGGTTAGAGCTGCGGCGTACAATGTAACATCTATGTCACATAACACATACAAAGCTTTCTTCTCTCTTTCTACCAAATACAAAGCACACTGCTATATTGAAACAAACACTTTGATTACCCGTTAAACCAATTTTTCCAACTGCTTCGGCTGAAGACGAATTCAATTCTGTTCGCGATAAGTTAAAGATACGGATGGATTTTAATACAAACGACTCATTTTAAAAGTTGCCATCAGCTGTTTTCATGCGATTAGAGAAAAAAACAGTATTGCCATAATTCAGATAAAACTCAATATTACGGTGTATTCGTTTTTCCAACGTTTGTTGCACGCAAAATGAAGTTCGAAGATTCTATAAAGGATGCACATTGGCATGTTCGCCAGTCCATCTATGTACAATCTGTGGAAAATGAAAATTCGCAAAAATAAAGATATCACTTTCAAATTTTGCAAAAACGTTGGAAGCGCTTGCACACAACTTGGTGTTCAAAATAGGCCAAGTTGTTCAACGCACTCGCACACAGCAAAACCTACGCTGAAAACATCTCTGCATCCTAACCTTTTTGCGAATTGTCCATAGGCATAATATAAACTTCCATGTATACTCCACAAAAAGAGAAAAAATCAACCATGTCCAATCACAGTTATAGCGTATGAAAATTTAGTTTTTCAAATTTTTTGTCTTGTAAGATAATATTGACACATAGAAGAAGTCTGGTAAAAGCCTAATATAATTTTTTACTCGTATTGTGTTTTAAAATTAATGTTAAGGTTAAGTTTGCGATTATAAAGCAAATTTCTATATTGATAGCGTTCGTTGAAACTGTTATATACATTCTTTTGAAAAAGTAAATAACTCTACAAAATATTAGTTTGGGGAAAAAGAAATCCATTATTTTTATATGAACTTCAGGACTTTATTTAACATGCTTCGGATTGTCCGATTTGGGTCAAATATGCACCGTTTTGTTGTACGATTTGTTGCCATTTAAAAGGTAACTTCAAAATGCCTCTCTCATAGAAGTCCTGGTCTCTATTTGCAAAAAACTCTAGTAGCCGATTTTCACAATCCTCCCTAGATTCCAATTTTTTATCATTAAAGAAATTTTGCAATGCAAGAAAAAGATGATGATCGCTTGGTGCCAAATCCGGACTGTATCGCGGATGCATTAAAACTTCCCAACCAAGCTCCCGAAGTTTCTGGCGAGTTACTGTAGATGTGTGTGGCCTAGCGTTGTCCTGGTGGAACACGACACCTCTCCTGTTGGCCAATTCTGGCCATTTCTGGTCAATCGCTATCTTCAAACGGTCCAGTTGTTGACAGTAGAGATCAGAATTTAGCGTTTGGCCATATGGAAGCAACTCATAATAAATAATCCCCTTCCAGTCCCACCAAATGCATAGCAAAACCTTCCTGGCCGTTTGAGGTGCTTCACCGCTCTTTGACCACGATCGTTTTCGCACAGGGTTATCGTATGTGATCCATTTCTCATCTCCAGTTACCATCCGTTTAAGAAATGGGTCTATCTCATTCCGTTTGGCCAAGGCTTCGCAGATGGAAATTCGATCCATCGTGTTTTTTTCTGTTAATTGGTGTGGCACCCAAACATCGAGCTTCTTTTTGAATCCAGCTTTGTGTAAATGGTTTAAAACTGTTTTATGGTCGATTTTTAGCTCCTGGGCGATGTTACGACTGCTAACATACCGGTCAACTTCGATCATTTCTCCAATTTTATCGACATTTTCGACGACCGGCCTACCTGTGCGAGGTGCATCTTTAACATCAAAAATTCCTGAACGGAATCTACGAAACCAAAATTGCACATACTTGGCTGTTACAGTAACGGAACCATAAACACTATTCACAATTTTAGCCGCCTGGCTTGCATTTTCGCCTTTGTCAAAGAAAAACTGTAAAATGTACCGAATTTTCTCTTTGTTCAGTTCCATTTTTAACACGCTGTAACTCACAACTGAATGCACCAAACAAAAAACAGCAAAAGAATTTTTTTTACTGCAAAATGTCACGTTTCCGACGAGCATAAATCTGAAATTATTTGATCGATATTTTACGAGATATCTATCAGTGCAGTCATCTACCGAAAAAATAGTGGATTTCTTTTTCCCCAAACTAATATATATTAGTTTGCAGCTATATAGCTGCCCTTGTACACAAACAGCTACGTGCATTTTGTTGTCAACATACCAGATTCATTTATCAATATAAAAAATTATATAGCTTTAGATTTCGGTATTTTTTTATTTTTTTTAAACTTATTTAATAAAAATTCAAATGAAATCACATATTTCGTACATATCCGATTTTCATATTTCGTTGATTTTGAAAATGGTGTAAGTCCGTTTGGGGTTCCTCAATAGTGCATATTTCTTTTAATCAGTACTTTAAAAACATTTACATAATAAACTTAAATCATTTCTGTATTGAAAACGTATAAAATAAACGTATTTCATTATGCAATTATTTTTCAAATAACGCGCAAACACAAATCTTTATATGTCGCTAAATAAAATGAATTTTTACACAATTAGGAAAGTTGTATTCTCGTATATCCACCATTATGCTTTTCGCATTCTAATCTTCAAGTTTTTTTACTTGATACCCATATCGTTGGTACTATTAATAAAACATTAATCGCAATATCTGTCATATTCATTTTAGAATTAACCCGTTTTTACGCAGATGATATATCTTTATTTAAGGAATGTACAAAATAGCTTTAAACATTATGTCTTGTGTACATTATGATTAATCAAAACAGTGGAGAAATAAAATTTAATCACTTGTACCTTTGTGTGGATTTTTTCCATTTTTGTACGTAAAGGAAATGTGCCCTTCTAACCTTTATAAATCTTCCTTCTAACTTCGACATCTAACTTTTATAATTTCTTAATAACGAGCAAAAACCCACAAATTTTTGTTAAGAAAAACGGAATTGTGTTCCCCCTATGCTCCAACGCGGGCTTCTGTTTCGACCTACTTCGCCGGCTTTCAATATCAATCTACGTGCACAAACCTCCAATGTTTCTATCAAATTTGAAGTTGATATCTTTATTTTTGGCACCAGGAGAGTGCCAACAACAAACATCACATAGACGCACAGACATACAGAGTTAATCAATTCAGACTTTAATGCTAATCACGAATGTGTATACTTTATAGCGTCTCTGAAATTTCTTTCTGGGTGTTACATAAATTATGAAAAAAAAAAGGAGTTTACTCCCATCCTTCAGAGGTAGATATAAAAATGTTTCTAATCTGGAAATGGAAAGGGAAGTTTTGGTAATATGTTAGAAATCAATCTAAATTTATTTTTTCTAGAAAGAGAGAAAATTTTCAAAGCAATATGTGCGGTATTCATATGAAGGGTTTTAATTGCGTCACTTCAATGCGTGGAGCTTTAACAAATTTAAGGTGTACTATATTAATTATTTATTATCTGATTTATCAATTGAGATGGTCTGCATAACTGAGATGTCGTGCGGATCGTATGTTCAGAATGGATTCTGTCAAATCGTGAGGTACAATATTGTCCGTCACGACAGCGCTCATGATTCAGGAGGCGGATCATTGTCTAAATCATAAAATTGTAAGAAGGTAGCAGTGTTGTGAAATACTGGCTCTTGAAATTGACACCAGTGCAGCTAAACGTCTTTAATGTGTGCATTCAATACTGTAAATCATCAGTACGTAAAAGGCTTCTCCTTCTCTGTGATTGGACGTGATCACTCTATTACTCCTCGACACTCTATATTAGAGCCCATTCCGTTCAGCACTTTCATTAAAGATCTTATTATCAAGATTGCAATATTCATTTACATGCGGGCGATGCTCAAATATACCTATCTCGCCAACGGGGGCTTGTAAAGCATCTGATTCAACGAATTAAATGTGTCGTATCACGCATTGATCCGTTAAAGTTTAATTCAGATAAAACGAAGGCTATCGTGACACACAATGTTAATGATTCCGATTCTTTATCTAATATTAGAATGGATGATGCACTCATTGATATTGCCAAGCTAATTGCTACTCTTGGCTGTATAATTAACTCATGCTTGAGTGCTGACGATTGTGTCGATCTTATGACTATGCGGATGCAGAACATTTTCAGGAACCTGCGTTTATCTTTCTCGTACATACCTTTTCCAGCTAAATTGAGATTAATCAAATGTGTCGTGGTGCTACTTATATCGTATGGAATCGTACGCACGGCAGCCTTGATTGCGCCTTAAGCGCTAAGCTGTAGTTGGCTGTCAATAAGTATGTCTAATAAGTTTTCAATCAGCGTAAATACGACAAAATATCATGGTTTCCGACAAAGATTTTAAATTCTGATCTTTTATCGTTTCGTAAAATGTGAAATGCGATCTTCGTCCTTAAGCTCATTGATACATGTGCGCCGAAATATCTACTTGAGAAAATCGGGTTTGTCAGAACCAGACGCACAATGAACTCGATTCTTCCAGGCTATAAATATTTAAAACCTTCAAGACTAGTCTTTATTAACGCCGTAACGTTATAGAACTCATTACCGCCTAATACCTATTGTTAGTGGGCATAAGTTCAGAACAGCAATCAGGAAATTTTATAATTCTGAGTGTAATGAGTAATTATGTCTAATTTCTTCGGCACTGAATAATTGTTCAAGTTATCTTATCCAGTATTTTTTTAAATTTTTTTTTATTTATTTATTTATTTTTTCATCCGTCTGAGTGGCCGAGTAGGGAAGAGTCTCAACTAGCAACTCAATGGTCGTGAGATCAAATCTCAAGTGCGTTCGAGTTTTTGTTAAAGCCGAAAGCCTTAGATGCTAGTGCTTAAGACTTTAGTCTTAAAATTTATTCTTTGGCTAAATTTATAATAATAACAATTATAATATTTATTTTATTTGCCCCGGAAGAGACCTTATAGTCTTACTGACACTATAAATCTATTTTAATCATATTTAATAATGCAATTTAATTGCAATTGTTTATTATTTAATAATTAATTATTGGTTAAATAGAAATAATAATAATAATAAAAATTGGTTCTAGAAATATCCAAATCATTTCTGC